GGGCTCAGTGCATGTTAGGTAACCACTGTAACAAAGGGCTACACCCCAGCCTATTTTGTTCTTAAAGAATAAGATAAAAACAAAGTGTGCTGGTTGGGACTGTCAACTTGACACAAACCCAGCCATGTCTGGGAAGAGAGAATCTTAACTGAGGAAATGCCTCCATAAGACTGGTCTGCAGGCAAGTCTGTGGGGCATTTCTTACTTAATGACTGATGTGGGAGGGCCCAGCTCATTGTGGGCAGGTGACCCTGGATGGTAGGAGAAAGCGGGCCAGTAAGCAGCACTTCTCGATGGTCTCTGCCTCAGTTCCCGCCTTGAGTTCCTGCGCTGGCTTCCCTCTGTGACAGAGTACGACCTGAGCACTGGAAGAGGAAATAAACCCTTGCCTCCCACTATTACTTTTGGTCATGGCATTTTATCACAGCAACAGAAACCCTAAGTAAGACACCAAAAGAGCAATGTTCTTTATCTAGCCCAAAGAGTAAGTTTTGTATTTTACCTCGATAGTACGCCTTCGTGATCGCATCAAATTCCTCCTGGCCTGCGGTGTCCCATAACATTAGCCTGACATCCTCATCGTTAACTCTGAAACAAGAGATGAATTTATTCCAAACAAAATGAAAAGGATTTATGTACGTTTTTATTTTTCAAACTAAAAAAGTGAGAGTGAAATAATTTGAAATGATGGGGCTGTTCCCAGTAGTGAAAGCACAGCTAAGACATCATTCTCTGTCTGTCAGTGTTTTCTACAATGGCCTAGTGGCTCTAAGATCAGCAGAACTGGGAGGGGGATCCTTGGGTCGGATCATCTCTCCTCTTCTTACGCCACTCTCAATGGGGTTCGGTGCCCTGTGGAAGGGATGAGAACCGGGAAGGAAGCAGCCTGCTTGCAGACCTCTGCTTTGTCAGGTGATTCTCACCTCGGCAGCTGTGGCCTGGACCACTATGTGGTGCTGGAGGTCAGACCCAGGACCCTTTGCATGCTAGTCAGTGCTAGTCATGTGCTTTACCACTGTTATTGTGTTATGTTATGTTATTGTGAATATGAAATTAGCAAATACAGAGCCGTCCTATTCCTGGAGATGACACAAGGTCAGGTTCCTGGGCACCAGCGTGATGATGCACAACTGTCATCCCAGCACCCGGATTCTGAGGCAGGACAATCTTGAGTTTGTGTTATGTTATAAGATATTGTCTCAAAACAAAAAAGGAACCACTGTTGTTTTTTTTTCCATTAATTGATCAACATCTGACCTTGTTTTTAAGTGTTTCTACTTAAAGACACCTTATTATATGTTACTCATTGAACTCATGCCCTGCAGCAGCAGCAGCAGAGAGAAAGAGCACTGTAACTCCTGTATGAACAACACTTATCTAACAGTGGTCTTCTCCATAAGGCACACACAGCCTTCCTGCGCTCAGAAGCACCAGACAGAGCTGTAGCGCTGGAGTACGGCTGGAGGCCAGGCGAGACAGCCCACTACTCACCAGAATGAAGGGGAGCGTGAGAAGGTAGCACCACACAAGACAAAACAGGACATGTTTACTGTATAAGGGCTAACACGAGAAGGGCCACCTTGCTTGACCACAGCCGGGAATGTGCGTGGTGGACAACTCCAATGTTTCTGTAGCCCTCTGTCTATCTAATAAGTGACCACTACGCAGTGACTCTGGGGTTACAAATACTTTTTAGCAAACAAACAAACAAACAAAGAGCCTATGAGGAAGGGCAGGAACGGGGCCTCAGTGTTCACAGCAGGCACTTATCACTCCACTCCCCAAACCCACATCAGGCGGCTCACAACTGTCTGTAACTCATGCTCCAAGGGAACTGCTGCCTCTGGCCTCCGCAGGCATCTGCACTTATGTGTACAAGCCCACCCCCCACCACACAACTAAAAATAAATCTGCTTTTAAAAAGCCTATGGATAATGAAAATCAACTCATATCCAAAATACTGACTTTTGTTTCAGGTACAAGTACAAAACACAAATATCATCAAGACAGAATGAGTCTCCTTAAAGTAAGTGTTAGGGAAGCAGACCAGAGTCAGTGATGACCATTATCTCTGCTGCAAGCTAGTAAGTGGGCAGCGAGTCAGGGTCCAACCCAGTGGAGCCTGGAAAGTTCCCAACATCAGTGACAAAAAGCATCACTCCCAAGGATTTTAGAGTCCACTTGGATTTACTGAAATAGGCGTTCCTTTCTGTGGGCAAGTTTAATACTCCCAAACCCGTCTTCTTCCAGTTCTTTAGGATAAAGGTATGTCATTGTATCTTTAACTTCCATACAGTGTGGTTCAGTTTTTTAAAGGAAACATTTGGTGAGCAAATGTAATTCTAGACACTGAGAAGGTGGAGGCAGGAGGATCAGGATTCAAGACCAGCCTTTGCTACAGAGCAAGTTCAAGGCTCCACTCAACCTACATGAGACCCCGACTCAAAAAAATAAAATTAAAAGACAGAGGCAATTTAAACAAAGGAGCCTCTCCAAAGAAAATTTTAGGACAGCTGAAATGCTCCGTCTAAACAACCCAGCAGGGAGAAATCAGTCAGGGCCGGTTTGTGTTTATCAAGTCCCCAAGGTGTCACTAATAAATATAAAACATACAGAAGGGAGAGGGGAAGGAGTGAAGAAAAAAATGAAAAACATTAGAGGAAAGGGGGAAAATTACAAGAAAAAAAGAGCCAAAGATTAAAGTATATGATAAAACAAACAGACAAACAAAACAAAACCGACCTGAGAGCGCCCCAGGCCCGGCGTGATGGCACACACCTGTAATCCGAGCACTGGGGAGGCTGAGGAGGAGGAGGAGGAGGAGGAGGAGGAGGAGAGCAGCCGACTGAGGCCAGCTTGAGCCACAACAGCAGGAGCCCGTCCCAAAAACAAAAGTATGGGCAGGTGCGGCAGCAGAAGCCTGTGTAATACAAGTGCCTGGGAGGTAGAAGGAAGAGGATGGGGAGTTTAGGGTCATCCTTGGTTACAGAGCAAGTTCAAGGCCAGTGTGGGCAACGCAAGGCCTTGTTTAAAAAACTGGACAAAACCAACAACCAAACCCAACAGCACTAACTGCTGCGTGAGCCACTGAGCCCTGCTGCCCGGCTTGGACCGGAAGTTCCTCATTCCGGTAGAGTCTCAGGCACTTTACAAAGCAGAACGAAGGATAAAAGGCCGAGTACATACTGAATCTGTCGCTCTAAAAAGTCGACCCCAATGGTCTTCTTGTAGTCTTTTGTGAAAATGCCTTTGCAGTATCGCTGGATCATGCTGGACTTTCCGACGGCCCCGTTCCCCACGACCACCATCTTAATGGCTACTTCCACGTCTTCCTCCAACATGTTTGCCACAGAAATGGTCTCTGGACCAGCTCCAGTTCCAGGTGGTCAGATCGCCTCTGCAAACCTACAGCTTAAAATAAAAACACTTTTATCAAGAAACAGTCACATTACATTGCAGCCGGGCGGTGGTGCCACACGCCTTTAATCCCAGCACTCGGGAGGCAGAGGCAGGTGGATCTCTGTGAGTTCGAGGCCAGCCTGGTCTACAAAGCGAGTTCCAGAAAAGGCGCAAAGGCTACACAGAGAAACTGTCTCGAAAAACCAAAAACAAAAAAACAAAAAACAAAAACCATTACATTGCAATAATCTATGCAAAGGCCAGGGCTCCCAATCCACCTTTTCCCTTGTTAACCTTAGAAAGGCAAACACTGATACCTTATCTGCACAATTCTTTTTCAGAGACGAAGACTAAGCGTTTGAAGTACTGAATTTATTACTTAGCCTCTCCAAGACTCAGTTTCCTGGCAACAATATTCATCTCACAGAGTTGTTGACCAAGGAAGGATACATGTGAAAACCTTAGCAATGTGTGAGTTACACACACAAACCTTCATTTTGTGTAATACAATCCCACATGTTGTAACAATAAATGCATTATTAGAGACAAACCCGAGAAACATGCTTTTCAACCTTAGAGGTGTCTTTTTATAAAAGCACCCCAAAGAAACGTTTTATGTGATGAAGTGCAGTCAGGTGTCTCACTGAGCTCTTGGTTAACTGCTCAGTCCTCACATTACAATGAGTGCCGCACAAATCATCTCAGGCCACAGATTCTTTGGTTTGAGACCAGTTATAGTTTACCAGATAATCAAGGTAATAGAATATGCATACTTTACACTCAAAAGAATAGAAAGTCAATTTCCTATAGTTCTTAAAATGACATGCCTACTTGGCTATTATATTTCGGCTCCCTTAACTGAATTCATTACTACACGGATTGAACCTGAAATGTAAAAATAGTCCTGAGCCTCCAGACTTGCCCCAGGTACTTCATAAACTTGTATGGTCCTAAGAATCTTCTAGAAGTACTTGCGGAGATCTAGCCATATATAATCAGAAACCTCAGAACGGTAGCTTTTTTTGTTTTGTTTTCCCCAAGACAAGGTTTCTCTGGGTAGTCCTGGCTGTCCTGGAACTCACTTTGTAGTCCAGGCTGGCCTTGAACTCACAGAGATCCGCCTGCCTCTGCCTCCCGAGTGCTGGGATTAAAGGCGTGCGCCACCACTGCAAGCCTCTTGCACTGCTAATTCCGTCCTGACATTTGCTCCTTAAAGAGCCCAGATAGATACACCCCCACCCCCCATGTGATTTTACACCAAGTAAACGTTAGAACCATGAGTCTATGTCAGTGCCTCTGGCCTGTGGCTGATGCTGGGACCGAGGAAAACTTTAAAGGGCGGTGATGTTTGGATCCTGTGCTCTGAAAATACGATTTCGGTGTTCTAGAATGAATCCAAGAGTTCACCTCCCAGCCTTTTACTGCCCTGAAGCTTCGGTCTCCTGAACGCTCGGGAACAAATCTAAACCCAGCAGGTGAGGTGGCAAATGCCATTCTCCCAGCCCTCAGAAGGCCGACTGAGGCTGGAGGGCAGCTGCACGTGCCAGGCCAGCACGGGCTACGCGGTGAGACGGCATCTCAGAGAACCAAAGTGACAACACACAGCTCCGGTTCTTACCCAGATCTGACCTCCTTCATCCAGCCGCCGTGCACACTGGCTCGGTTCTAGGACGTCAACGTCCTTTCCTCTACCTCACAATTCTTCACCCTAGAAGCTGTGAAGTTACAAAAAGGAAAAAAAAATCAATAATGTCTACAGCAAAACTGCAGCAAGAAAAACCTTGTATTTTATCCTTTTAAACATATATACTCAGCTAAGCAGTGGTGACGCACACCTTTAATCCTAACATTCAGGAGGCAGAGGCAGGCAGATCTCTGTGAGTTTGAGGCCAGCCTGGTCTACAGAGGACAGCCAGGGCTACACAGAGAAACTTGTATGTATGAAACTGTCTTGTATGTACACACACACACACACACACACACACACACACACACACACACACACTCACTCAATAAATATGCACACGCTGTTTCTCACTCAGTCTCTCCGCTACACAAATGACTCAGCAGTTACGAGTGCACCTTTACAATCCTGGGGACCAACCCTGAGATCCCAACACCTGTGTAACAGAGCGGGGTGTCTCCCACATACCTGCAACCCCAGATACAGGGAGGCTGAAGACAAAAGAACTGCTGGGGCTTGTTGGCTTACAGTCTAGCTAAGAAAATGAAAGTCTCCGGTTCCGAGAGAGGTCCTCCCTCAAAGTGACAGGTGGGGAATGATACAGAAGTACACCTGACGCCCTCATCTGGCCTCGGTGCATGCACACAGACACTTGAACACACACTCCCAAGTGCACAGATACACATGCACAAAAATAAATAATAATATAAATATATAGACTTCAGAGACACTTCTGATAGTCCGGACATTTTTTGTTCCAGTCTCCAAGCATAACTAAAATCTCTGCACTTTACATAAAGGGCACATAGGCCTCTGAAAAACAGAGAGGACAATGGGCTATAAGCTGCAGACACAAGGAACAGAATAAAAGTGAATTCACTTTGAGTTCTTTTTCTCTTTCGTTTCTCAGACTAGATTATGAAGAAGTCAAATAATCAACAAACAAGAAGACCTCAATAAAAGGCTACTCTCTTTAGCCACAGGACCAGGAAGGGGGCAGCAGAGCAAGAAGCCAAGACAGGAAACACACCCTCATGACGACACCACAGTGCCAAGGCCGACTTACAACTCCGATGGGAAGACAAGCAGGTGTCCCTTTCTACCCACACCACCACCCTGCGCCTTAGAGACCACACAGGGAACTGAGATGCCCACTCCATCCACCAGGTCTCGTTGCTCACCACCTTTACATCTCTTTTTTGGAAGGAAGGGGGTACAGAGGAGGCCTATTAGAAAGCTTCACCTTTCACCATCCCTCAGAGGCGATGAGGTCATCTTCCCACCCACTGCAGCGTCAGTGGGGACCACGGGAGGAACAGTACTACAAAGTGCCTCTCCTCCTCCCGAAAAGGACAAACCCGGTGGGTGTCATCATGGGTGCCTCTTAACAGGGCATCCCTTCCCACCCTCAGTTTCGATGGAAGACAAGTCTTAGTTAAGACAGACACATAGACGAATCAGAGTTTACAAGTGAAAATAACTGTAACAGAAGGCTCAATGGAGAGACTCAACGGCAGAACAGGGAGAATGGAGGGAGGAAACGGAAACTTGATCATACAGTAGAAAATAGCCAAATCTGAACAACACAGCACACTACAGGGGGAAAAAAGACAGAGCGTCAAAGACCCGAAGAACTAAGAGAAAAAAAAAACTATTGGTATCACCAGAGTTAGGACAAGGAAGAGCAAAAGGATAGGGCTGAGAGGCAATGGAAAAAAATAAAGACTGAAATACCCCAAAATTTAGAAAAAACACAAATTCAAAGAAGCTAACTGAAACAAGGCAGACAAACCTAACAAAATCCAGACCCAAAACATACCAAATATTTGCCAACTGAAGACACACCTTCAAAGCACTGAAAGACAGTGAGTTTGTTTTTTTATCACACTGTGTGGGAGGGGTGGGATCTTTTAGGGCAGAGGTAGGGGGCATGTTTTTATGCACAGGCCCTGGGTTCAACCCCCCAATATCACAACCTCCTGCCACTGACTGGGATTAGGAAGTGTGGCTTTCTTGGAAGAAGTGTGCCACCATACCGACTACAGAGATATCAGATAACAACATCAACCATAAGGGCCAAGAGAAAGAGCACATCACTTTGTGGGTGCCGAAAGAAATGATCTGTCAGCACAGAGCCACATCCCAGTGAAATCCTTCAGGAGTGAAAGAGGAGGCAGGCCAGTTTCTGATCAGGAAAAACTGAGACCATCTGCAGTCTGCCCAAGAGAACAAAAAGAAGTTCCTGAGACAGACTTCAAAAGGATGAACATGGTAGATATAAAAATTCTGTGAAATGCAACAGCCTTCTAGTCTCTTTCTTTACAATGTATGTGAAGAAAATAATTAAGATAATTATAATAAGATAAAGGAATATAAAAAGAGGTCTTATACTGGAACTGACAAAATGCTAACTCCAATACGCTTTGACTTACACACATATATACGTATACACACACACACACACACACACACACACACACACACACACACACACACACAGTGTACAGACATATGTGTAGGCCAAACGCTCATTAACATTTCTTTTAAAGAAAGGATTAGAGTGCACTGAGTATATGATTTACCAAGATAGACCATATTCTGAGCCATCAAAGAATACTGCTGTGAGACTGCGTCTCCTCAGAATGTCAGAGGATACATTCATAGAATTTCACCAAGTGGCCACCTACAGATGAGCGAGGCAACGGCAGCACCAGCAGACATGCTACCATAGACTGAGAAAGTGCACATGGTGTCAACCCTACGCAGAGGACTACAGGCAACTAAGGAACGCTGAGAGCGGGAGAAACAGTTTCACCGAGAGGAGGGCACACCAACCGGTCATCCAACATCAAATGGTCAGCACCGGAAACAAAGGCATACAAGGGACATGACATGGACTGAGCAGGTTGTATTTAGACACACGTAGCAATAATTAAATAAAGAGAAGCCATGAATTTGAAAGAGAGCAGGATGGGTTACATGGGAAGGTCCAGAGGGAGGAAAGAGAATGGTAAATGATGTAATTATAATCTTAAAAATAAAATATATACATATTTTGAAAAGTGTCAACAAATCTAAAATACTGAAATCCATACAGTGTATTCACTGAACATAATAAACTCACACCAGAAACCAGTGACAGAATGAACAGGGAAACCTTGGTATTTTGAAATGAAAAAAGGGATTCAGCGATCACAGAAGCTTAGAGAAAAGTAAGTCACTGGGTGTGGCCTGTAATCCCAGCACTTGTTGGAGCTGAGGCAGGAAGACCCTGAGTCTGAGGCCAGCCTAGGCTCTATGGCTAGACCCTGTCTCTCTCTATAATATATATAATATCTAGTATATTATAAATATGTAAGCATAATAGAAAAGTCAACGTGGAACTCTGTGGGAGGCAGCTACGGCAGTGCAGAACAAAGCTCCATTAGGTAAGAGTGTTCGTCTTAATAACCTAAGCCTTAACCCGGCGGCGGGGCAGCCACAGAGCTAACCACTCACAGCCACAGAGCTAACCACTCAGGGGGCCACAGCAGGACAGCAAGCTCCCGGCCTGCCTGAGACCACCCCAGCCACTTACCAAGACACTATCTCACAATGAAAAGTAAAAAGAAGGCTGGGTATGCAGATCAGGGGCACAGCACTTGCCCAGCAGGCCTAAGGCCCCAGAATCATCATAAAATAAAGTCGGAGGAAACTGCACTGTCTAATTTTAAAACAGTGTAATCTGAAATCAAGAAGGTTCGATACCGGCTAGAGAAGATCCACATGCCTGTGCGGCAGAGGAGAAGGCTCACAAATGCAAAGCTTCACCTTATGCAGTTAACTTAAAATGCACCACCACATAGGCACAGTTACTACAACTTTTAAGAGCAAGTCTATAGAAGAGTATATTCCTGACTGGGTTTAAAGAGTTCTTAGTCAGGAAACCAGAAGATACAACATGAGTGGGAAACCAGTAAACTAGATACAAAATTAAAAAACACAGGGCGCTCTTCAGTGGTTCTCAACCTGTGGGTTGCAACCCCTTCGACAAATGTCTATCTCCAAAAAGCATTTACATTACAATTTATAACAGTAGTAAAATTATAGTTATGAAGTAGCAACGAAAATAATTTTATGGTTGAGGGTCACCACAACATGAAGAACTGTATTAAAGGGTCACAGCATTAGGAAGGGTGAGAACCACTGTACAAGCAAGTAAGAGAGTGTGCTACACAAGACTTAAATTCAATACCCGGATCCCACAGTGGAAGGAGAGAACTGGCTCCTGGAAGCTGTCTTCTGACCTCCACACGTGCACGTGACATGTGCACACCCCCCACACATACACATTTCATCACAATAATACAATTTCAAGACGTAAAAACATTAACCAGGCATGGTTGCACACACCTGTAATCCCAGTATTTGGAAGGTGAGCCAGGAGGATCAGAACCTCAAGTTCATCCTCGGGCCAGAGTGAGTTCCGGGCCAGTATGGGCTAAAGAGAAAGTCTCAAACCAACCAAACCAAACCACCTAAACAACAACAAAGAACCAGCCCAGAAGGTGGTGCCCACCCGAGATTCCTGCACTTTCGAGGCTGAACACAGGAGAGCAACAAGGTCAAGACTACACTGTGTACACATTTTGAGGACCCTTTCTCAAAAGTAAAGAAATAAATATAAACATTTGTTGTTTCAAACAATGATGAATAAGGAAGGCAATGAATAGACAAGACACCATCTAGGAAAAAAACACTTTTAAAATACGGATCTGACATGACTGGTATCTAGAGCTTCAGAAGGAACCCTCAGGCTCAACACAAGAACACGCAACCAAGTTAAAAAAAAAAACGAGCAAAAGACAGACAGCAGACACACAAGCGTGTGCATGGCACGTGAGTACGCAGACAGACATTCAATAACTGTGGCTATGAGTTAAAGGCCCATGATTCCCGATGACATCCCAGGGTGTGTATGGGTAAGCAGAAGAGAGGAGGAGCGACTGAACCGGCAGGAATGCAAAGTGACAGGGCCACTGTGGAGAATGGTTTTCACGGCGGAAGATACTACAACCCAAGAGCTGATGTCCTGTGTAATCCCCAAACATCACACAACTCAATACCCTACAGAACTAAAAACTGAAGTTCCACACAAAACTCTGTGGAACACACACACACACACACACACACCCCAATCTATGGCCATACCATCCTGATCATGTCTCATCTCAGAAGCTAGGCAGGTTGGATCTGGTTAGTACTTGGATGGGAGATTTGCTTGCTTTCATTTTAGTACATATTGATGTATTAGTGTTTTGCCTGCGTGTCTGTGTGAAGGCATCACCAGATTCCCTACAACTGCAGCTATAGGCAGTTGTGAGCCGCCATGTGGGTGTGGGGGTCTAACCGAGGTCCTCTGCAAGAACAGCCAGTGCTCTTAACCAGTGAGCCATCTCTCCAGCCCTATCACATCTACATACATAATCACCTAAAACTGAAAACTACCCCAAATGTCCTTCAATGGGTGGATAATATAATTAGATATATCTGGCACATCCACCTAATTAAACACTACTTAGCAATAACGGAGGGGGAATTATCCATACAGGAAACAATGTGGGAACAGACAATTGGCTCAATAGCACAGTGTTTACCTAACTTGACAAAGCCCTGGATTCCATGCCTAACACCACACACACACTTGGCATAGTAGCACATATCTGTAATCCCAGCACCTGGGATGTGGAGGTGGAAGAATCATAACCTCATGGCTATCCTTGGCTAGTGAAGCAAGTCTGAGTCTAGTGTGAGCCACCTGAGATCTTGTCTCAAAGATAGATAGATAGATAGATAGATAGATAGATAGATAGATAGACAGACAGTCTCCAAAATAACCAATATGGATGCATCTTGAATCGCAAGGGCATTATATTTAGTCACTGAAAAAGTTATCAACATCCCAAACTGTTACACTTAAATGACATTCTGAAAGCATCAGTAACTCCGAGGAATCAAGAATAAGAAGTATGATATAAAGAGACAAGAGGTTTTAATAGACAGTAGGACCGACTTTATAGCCTGACTGCATTGGTGATTACATGAAACTAAAACTCCAAAAGTTTTTTTTTTTTAAATCATTTGAAAGTTAAAAAATAATAAAACTTAAACAAAGACGTGAGAACAGTTTATAGCTCTGGGAATTACTGCTGAGATTCTCAGAAACTAGAATTAAAACATTGCATCCCAGCATGCAGGAGGAAGAGGCAAGTGGATCTCTGGCTTTGAGGCCAGCCTGTCTACATAGCAAGTTCCAGGTCAGCCAAGCCAATATGGTGAGACCCTGTCCCAAATTACACACATTAAAAAACAAAAATAAAAAAACTGCATCAAAATAATCATGTTCTTAGAAAGGCACAATTCTGAATTAAAAACTGACAGTAATTATAAATATCCTTCCCTCTCAACCTAAATCACTTGGCAACCAATACAGTCTTTCGCCTTAGCAAAGGATGGGTCAACTTAACTAAGTAACGGGTTGCTGGGTTTGGTTTTTACGTCGGGCAACAGCCTGTGCGTTTGCAAAAAGCACAGAATTGCTCTTGCCGCGCAGCCCTGTGCGGACCCTGCCTCGCCCGCCAGAGTGAAGTTCTTACACACTCGAGTTCCTGCTCCAGGGAAACCACGGCGACGGACCGAGCGGCGGGCGGCGGCCGGGAGCGATGGCACGGAGCGGTCCAGCCCGTCCGCGCGCGGGCTGTCCCCACGAGGACCGGGGAGGAGTGCGCCGCCCGCCGCAGCCCCGGTCCCCGCCCACAGCGACTTCCCGGCCCCGCCACCCGGGAGCCCGCAGCCCCCGAGCCGAGGCCGCGCAGGCCGCACTCACCTCCTGCCCGCAGCCCGGAACCCTCGGCACCGAGCCCGCAGCCCGGAACCTGGAACCCGCAGCACCGAGCCCGGAACCCACAGCCCGCAGCACCGAGCCCGGCTCCTCCCCGCGGACGCCTCGCACCCGCTCCGCTCTTGCAGAACGGTTATGGTTTTTCTGGCGAACTTTATTAGGAATCCCGATGCACGGAGACACACTCGTCGCCCACTCCGGCTGGGATGAAGGGCGCGCCCGGCTCCCGCCCGCCACGCAGAAGAGCATGCGCCACCTCGACTGCGCATGCTCCCCCGCGCCGGCCCCGCCCTGCGCTGGCGGTGAAAGAGCGGGCTGGGTTTGCAGAGCCTCAGGCCTTTGGTACCCAAGGAGACCAAGGTGAGCAGGATGTGCAAACCTGCTGATGGGAGTTCTCCGTTTCCCTTTCAGGAGCCCCACAAGTCTGCCACTAACTGGGACGCACCTGGTAGCATCGGAGTGGTAGAGTGAGCCAAACAATCTTGAGTGAAGACGAACTCATGCAGCTCGCAGGGTATGACTGGACAAAATAGAAGTCTGAGATGCTTAACCATCTAGAACCAACCGGCAAATGAAAAGGCCCTGCCAAAAGCAATCCAAATGGGCTTCAAACGTGGTGTGAGAGAACATGTCTGTGATCCTGGGACCCCAGATGGTGGGAAGAAGATCAGGAAGTCAAGGTCATCCTGAATGACAAGAGACCCCGTCTCAAAGAAAATAAACGTGTTTCCGTTGCTTCTATATACCTCAGAATAAAACAGAAAATGGTGACCTAAAACACCAAGTGTTGACAAGCACGTGACATAACTGAATTTGATTGTGGTGCTGAAGCAACTTCTTTGAAAAACAAGGACAGTTTGTTACAGTTGTGCACTCTGCGACCCACAGGTCCTTGGCCACACAACCGATAGGAACTGTACTTGTGATGTACAGGCAGACAGGTGTCAGAAGAAGGTGTCATGGCTGCTCCTGTCCTAATGGTCCTCAAATGGGAATAACCCAAAAGACCATCAACAGACAATCAGTCATGACTAGACCATCAATATTGTGTAATGGAAACACTGCACAGTAATACAAAGGATCCTCTGAAACTGTAGACAACAACACAGAAAATGACAGAAACTTACAGTTGAACATAAAATGCTAGACACAAAAGTACATGTTACACGTTTAGTTCCTTTTTTTTCTCCTTCCTTTTTGGTTTTGTTTTCTATGTGTGTATGTTTGTGGGCTTTTGGTGTTTGTAGAGACATGGTCTGGCTATATGTCTGAGGCTGGCCAGGTACTTGCAGCTAAGGCTGGATTTTAACTCACCATCCTCCTGTGCCAACCTCTTGAGGGCTGGAATTACAAGACTGTGTCATCATGCCTAGTGTCCAGTTCATTTCTGCTGTCAACTCAAAACTCTTGACACGAAAAGTTCTCCGAACTGAAAGGTTTGTGCAGTTTGTGCATTGCAGATGGGGGTGAAAAAAGAGCCCCACCAGTCGCAGCAGAGCTAGATAAAAGTAAGGACCTCCAAGTCGAAAGCATTAAAATGAAACTTTGACAAGGAAAACCTACATCGGCCATAGCTAGACAGCCTGTACGATCCATTTTTGCTCCAGGCACATCCTAGACAGAATGCAGTGGTCATTGCAGTCCTATGGTTTTGAGTCAGCATTTCAACTTTCATTCAAGAATGTGGAAGAGCCCTGGCTCGAGCCCACAGCAGTTAGCTATTAACTTCCCTCACTGCCCCTTGCCCAGACCCGAACCTCCTCCATCCTCCAGCCCTTGTAATTAAATATAGGACATCCTGCAATTTTTCACTATAAAGAACCAAAACGGAAAGACTGAGATGCTGGAAGTTAAGGTGATGTGCAAGGACTTGTGATGTGATGTGCAAGGACTTGTGACCGAATGAAGGGGCTTCCTGGGTGCTGGGAAGGTAATCTCTGTTAATCTTGTTGCTAGTAATGTGTGTGTATATTTGTGTATTTGTGAATGTTCAAACTGTACTTTCTATAAACCCAGGGCCTCATTCATGTTAGCCAAGCATTCTACCTTTATGCAATAATGAAACTCAAGCTCTACTCTCATCCATATTTTTTTTCTGTATGAGAATTATACTTCACATACAGTAATTTTGAAGTGAAAATTTTCAAATTTAAAAATGAGAGATTATTTATCCATGATAAAAATAATTTTTGAGCCATAAATGCCGAGCACTGGTAAGTTTAGCTCTAGGATTTGGTTGGAAATTTTTAACCTTTTTAAAAAATAATTTGCTTAATTTTATTTTATGGACATTGGTTGTGAAAGTGTCAGATCCCCTGGAACTGGAGTTACAGACAGTTGTGAGCTGCCATGTGGGTGCTGGGAATTGAACCCTGGTCCTCTGGAAGAGCAGCCAATGATACTCTTAACTGCTGAGCCATCTCTCCAGCCCCCAGTTTTTACCTCTTTTATGAAGTAAAATTGGAATTTACTAAGAAAAAGTTTAAGTATAGATGGGCATTAAAGGAGAGAGAAGCTTAAGGAAAGGACAGTGTGACAGTTTGTGTTAAGTGTCAGCTTGACAAAACCTCAAATTGCATGGGAGATGGGCCTCTGGGCACATCTGTGAGGAATTGTCTTGATGACGTTAATGAGTTGGGAAACCCTACCCACGGTGGTGGCACTGGTCCCTGGCTGGATATCTGCACTATATAACCAAAGAAAGGAAGCCCAGATGGTTGACTCAATGCACCAGCTGATTCAAGCTCCTGCCTTTGATTTTTACCACCACCACGAATTATATAGCCTTTAACTGTGAGCCCAAAATAAATCTTATCTCCCTTAAGTTCCTTCTATCCACAGCAACAGGAAAAGAGACTAAGACGATATTACAGATCACAGTGACACACTACTGTAATCCTAATTCCCAGGAGGCAGAGGCAGGAGGATTGCTTCAGATTTGAGGCCAACCTGGTCTACATAACAAGTTCCGGTCCAAACAGGATTATGTCTCAAAGTAAAATAGTAAATGAGTGAGTAAATAATGAAAGAAAATGATAGCATTACGTGCCCTAGAATAATGAAAGACTTTTCAGAAAGGTCTTGAAGTTTTTGTTTAAGTGTCATAATAGTACATATATATGACTTTGATGGCCTTGAAGTCATGTTTTTTAAATCATTTAAAGGATTAGACTAAGTGTTTGGGTTTTTTTGGTTTGGGTTTTGTTGGTTTTTGCAACTGAAATCCCAGGGTGGGTTCAGGGGTGCTTTGGATTACATTACAGAGTGAGGAGAGAAGAACAGGGCAAAGGGGTCCAAGAAATCCTCACTACATCAGGATCACAACTGTGAGAACAATGAGTCCCACTTCATAGTAAGAGCCCGGGGACTCACGGTAGCGAAAGTGAGTTTAATCTTCCAAAGTTACAAGGCTGGGCATCAGCCTAGAACAGCAGGTACGCTGATTGAGCGCCAAGAAGGGCTTTTGAACACTGATCACCCTTCCTCCCTGTCCTCTTACTGAGCACTCTGGAAGGCACAGTCTTGCAGATCATGGAGGACTCACCATTCACTCCTGCATTTCCCCCTTCCTCCATAAGATCCATGCATTGATTTCCTCTCTCTGCTTTACATCCTGTTCGTTTGAAAGCCTCTCAGGCACACGCCATTGCAGGCAAGCTTGGCTATTAGTCATTTTCTACTCCAAGCCCTTAGTTTAGCCCAGTGGGTAGCTTAGCAGGGTTTGGGGTGGAGCATAACTAGACTAGGAAGCATTAACAGGCAATGTTCTCTGTTCACTTGGAGCTGGAGCGAAGATGGCTCAAGGCAACTTTGAAAACAAACCGTTGGATTTTATTTTACAAAAAGATATTAAGACATATTTTCACTGTAAAGAAGTAATCTTTTTTGTGAAATTTTATTTATTCTCAGCCAATCAGGGTGAGGGAGCCCTTTCCTGTCCCATGTCAATTTTCCTTTTTTTTATCTTGCTTTGATTTCTTCTAAGATTTTGATCCCTTGATTTCAAGGATTGATGAGGGCCAGCATTCTTTTTTTTCTAAAACTTCTTCAGGCTGAATAGGAATGTAGACCTGTGATGATTTGAATGAGAATGGGTCCCCTAGGCTCACATGCTTTAATGCTTGGTCCTCTGTTGGTGGAACTGTTTGGGAATAATTAGGAGGTCTGTCCTTGTTGGAGTAGGTGTGGTCTTGTTGGGGTAGGTGTGACACTGGGGATGGGCTTTAAATTTTCAAAAGATGAAGTGCAATTCCCAGGGTTCTTTCTCTGCATCCTGCTTACAGATCTAGATGTGAACTCTCAGCTCTTCCTGCCATCATGCCTTTGCTCCGCCATCATGGACACCTAACCCTCTGAACCGATAATCCCACTTAAACAGTTTCTTTTGTATGTTGCCTTGGAAAAGCAACTAAGATAGTACCCTATGCATGGACCACACACTTCAAACTGTCTGATTTAAGGGAGACACAGGAAGGTCTTAGCCTGGAAGTTAGAGGATTATGATTTGACTGGAATTGGGAAGAAAAGATGTCATTTTTGAGGATACCAAACCACATGAACAATAAAGTTTACAAAGATTATTCTGTTAAATCCTCGGAGTAACACCTCAGAGAAGAGGACTTTTCCTGTCATGAACTTCTTGAGAACTGTGACGCTGGTGAATTGTGACACTTGGCACAGCTATGCGCTGATCCAGCTCTTCTTCTTCTTCTTCTTCTTCTTCTTCTTCTTCTTCTTCTTCTTCTTCTTCTTCTTCTTCTTCTTCTTCTTCTTCTTCTTCTTCTTCTT